CAAGTCCAGGTGTGTGCCTGCGTTTACATACCGATAACGGTGAGGAGCTCGTAGGAGCCGCTGTCAGGGAGGAAGCTGCCCATGGTGTCCCGACGTGGGGGGGAGGTCAGACTCTCCTGGCGGTCCTCATGGGCCTGAGGGAGGAAACAGAGCGACTGAAGATGAACAGTGACACTTGACGCAACGTCTACAGTGCAGGACTGTGATAAAGGGCTAGTGAGGGACTACTACCGGAGTGTCACTCCTACACTACCGTTCAAAAGTTTGTAATCTTCTGCCACAAAAGGTTGTTTCGGCACAGTCAGATGCCTTAGAGGTCTACTCTATATTGTTGTCTTTTGTTTTGCGTATTTTACTGACATTTGAAAGGGCAGAAAGAGACAAGGATACCGCCGAGCAACAGTTTAATAAAGGTAAAATAAATCAACAGTCATTGGCTAAATAAACTGGAAGCTTAAAATCAAAATGTGCGGAATTTAATTAGCAAAATGTTCCTGATTGAGTATTAAGATCACACTAATGCTTATAGAAAGCTGGAATTAACTGGCAATTTGTTGCTTTTGCAAAACCTTTCATAAAATATGTTGTTTGCATTTAGAATGTGAATTTTCTATCTATGTTTAAATAGCCATTATAAAAAAAGAAATGAAATAAAACTGACAGCTGATTCTAAACTCTTGAAGGGTAGTGTATGTGTGAGAACTGTTAAAAGATCACAAAAAGACAAGTGTGAAGGTGTGTTAGCGTGAGCCCTAGCAATACCCAAAGATTGAGCGAATACAATTGTCTACTGAAGGTCTAGTAATACTAACATATTCCAACACCATAGATGCACTCAATATATAACTGAGTGTATGTTTCACAGTGAAAAACAGAAAGACTACATCAGGATTAACAGAATATCAAATTCAGAATCAGAAAGTGTTGCCCACAAAGAGCCCATCTCTTCCTGTGTTTAATTTAAAAAAAAAATATATATATATATATATATATATATATATATATATAAAGATGTTTAGACATGTGCATCACAAACACATGTTAATGCTAAACCTAGAAGTGAGGACTCCTGTATTCCATAAATGTATCACTATTTAAATGATGGAAATGGACAGATTGCAGTAGCAAACTGTGGAGGCAAACGAAGGCAAGCTGTTTCCTTGGTGACCAGAGAGAAGATACACAATAAAAACAACAACAGTGCACTTCCTTTCAGCACAATCCTATGCTATAGATCAGAGGAGGCTTTGCGATCAAGATCAGAGCCACACAAATCAGAAAATATCCTTACAGGTCAAACTAAACGGTTTAGACAATACTCTTGCCAAAACAGTGCCTTTTGTCAAACATAAACTGTCTAGACCTTACGTTATACCTGAAATAAAAACAAAGCCAAACATGTTCTGGCAGCGTTGTTTGAAGGGAACATCTTTAGTTTGAGAATCACATGGGTTACTGCTGAAAAAATGCCATCGTGAACACAGAAGAGGTCAGTAGGAAAACACAGTGGCATTAAAGAGTGACAACCTCGGCTCACCATCAACCCTACAACAGGCCGTCAGCACAGACAGGCGGTATCAAAACACAACACACAATTAGACTCTCAGTGAGACGACACCAAAATCCAAAACAGTGCAGTTACCTAGAGTGAAGCATTAACCAGCACACTGAGGACAGACAGACTTATTCTCTTTCTATTCCCCAACAGAACGCTGGTGAGTGAGGTGAGCTGTCCTTGTGAGCATTGAGCATGTACAGCGTCTGTCACTACACACTCATGCATACATTCATGTGCAAAGCCTCAGGGGGGTTGTGGATTCCTCTACATAAAAACCTGTGCGCGCAAATACACATGCATGCACGCACACACACAAAGGGCATATGGTGGATGACGATGGCAGGAGTACCACACTTACGTTCCTGTGAGAGAGTCCCTGAGCTTGCTCTGGGGTAGAAAAACCACATCAATGACATAAAGACATGAACAAATACAAAACAAGAGAAGGATCGGTTTAGAGAAGCTCTTGAACTGGGAAGCGCAGCATCTTACAGCGGGAGTTTGCAGCATGCCACAGAATTTGATAAACGTACGTTGCTGGTTTTCTTAACACTAACTTTGTCCTTCAGGTTACCACCCTCCAAGTGACGCATCATTATCAAAACATACAGTTTTCCTGATATTGTGGGATTTGAATAAACTGAAGCTGCACTTAAATTACTAAAAACATTCACCACTGTAAAGTGATAACTTCTACTAATCTTTTAATCAAATCAAAGCACAAATGAAAAAAAATCCTGCAGGATCTTCCCAGATATTATGTAAACCATTGAGAATACAGCACAGCCAAAACAGAAATGATACACTAGAACAAAAATGCAGCTTTAAGCAATAATCTGCCACCAGGAAAAAAAGACAAAGCTTGAAAGGAAATAAAGCATAATCCTTCAGAACCTTTTCCTTGATTCAAAAAATCCAATGTGCCACAACTTAAACTGATTATTTATAGGAGAAACATGGTACTTAAAGGAACGGTGTGTAGGATATGGCACATTCTAGCGGTGTGACGATGTGTGAAGATGAGGTGTAACAATCTGCCGAGTTCAAAACCGTGGTATCTTTCAGGGCCATCCTTACAATAATACTACTTTAAGGAAACTCATAGTTGATATTGTGACAGAAATACTTCATTCATACAGTAGGAACAAAAATAAAAAAGCGAACAAGTTAGTAGGGCAGAGGTAGAGGGGAAGTCTCATTATATTCTGATTAAAAATTAAAATAAAAAAATGCCCTACTGCTTCTCGAAAGTATTCTGCGCTTAATTATACCATGTATGAAATACACAAAGCTACAAAACAGCTCAAGTTTATAAGAATTTCAATACAGCAGAAATAGTGAAACTTTAAAACTAGCAATGGGCCTCAAACCGCGCTGGTTCTTGATCTGAAGTTCCAAACTAAATTCAGATTTATTTCTCAATTAAACAAATGTGGCTTAACACAGATTACCACAAGAAGTGGTAAACCTTAGAACCTTAAAAACAAATATTCGAAATGGCAAATTAAAATAATTGACAGCCAAAAACAAATATGCAACCTATTCACACGCAGGATAAACACATTCACAATAAGCACTAAATAAAATGGCACAGAAACAAGCTCACAGAACATCAGTTACCTTCACCATGTTCATTTCTGTTTGTTTGTCAGAAGGATTTGTGAAAAACTGCCCAGTCTTTATGAAAAGTGCTCACTCACTTAGAGCAAAGCTTCAACTAGAGCAGAATGTTGATGTTTGTGCTTATTACGGTCCTGATGTGTAATCAGTGGTTTGAAAATGCTGAACCAGTTTGTTGTATCTCTGTATGTCTGTGACCTCACCTCCAAATAAGTCCAAATCCCTCAGGCTCTCCACACTCAGTTTCTCAGTTACCCAACGCTGACAGACACAGAGGGTTAATGACAGACATGGAGAGAAGAAAAAAAAAATTCAAGGAAGAGTAAGAAAATGTTTAACAGAAACATGAAGATGACTTATGCTTACTTCCTCAACTATTCTGTAAAAGAAAAAAATCGTAGAAAGCTGAGTTTTAAAATCCTGTTACTTTTCTTATTTTTGAGTAGTGCAGAGTCAAATAGTGGTTTCTGCAGGACTCGTATAAGATTGTATGTTTTTACAATAACAAAAGTGCCTAGCTGTTTGCAATAAAAGATGTCAGAGGTTTCATTTCAGTCCGATTTCCTTAATTAAGATTAAGCTTCAATGGAAATATCGATAAGAAACATACAAGTACTGTACATTTAATCATGTGTATAGGATAACATGTAACCCTTAAACAGGCCTTTGTCTAAAATAGGTAATTGGCAAACACTTACAAGAAAAGACATGGATCCTCTTGAGTATGTTACATATGAATTGATGATACCACGCCCAAGGAATCCCTGTGAAGACGAGTGAAAATAAAGTGTTTAATCTGTTTAATCTCCTCCTGCGTGGGACAGTGTTGTACCATGCTTATTATTTAATTTCATGTGATTTCACTTCATCACACTGTTCTTAATGCATCCCAAAGCATCCACTGTCTCTCATACAGAACAAAACACAAACACAACCAAACAAATACTACAAACATATATTACAGACAATACAAGTGTAATAATAACTTACTTTTGGATTCAATGCTTAACCTACACAGATACACTCAGGCCCAGTCTAAACCCAGACTCTGATATAAAAGGAACAGAAAGGATTCCTGCAGTCTCTTTGGTTGGGCCTGTTTTACTGTTAATATGATAATATTTAAATACAAATATGAGGCGTCATACTTTTAGCATACGCAGTTTGAAAACTTGACTCAATCATTTGTCCCACAGTCTAGGGCCATTCTAGCTTTAACTCAACATAGAGACACACCTGCTACCACTGATTCTGTACTGCAAAACATACTGTCTGTCTGCATTATATTCTTTAAAAACAAAAGTAGAATTTGTGTTTGCTTCAAATGACGTCAGACTCCTAAGAGAGAAAATACCGTTTTAAAAAACTCACTACAGATAATATATATGTGCACTTCACATTTTGGGGCGTCGGGTGATCTCTCAGAGCTGGCTTTAAGTGATGGTATCTTTTTATAGAGCTAATTTGTATCACGCGTGAATAATTGTTGTTATAATGCAAATACAGGAAAGCTCACTTCCAACTATATTAATCGAGGCAATACGAACACTCCATGCAACAAAAAACACAATCTATATGAGGTAAATCACCTGCAGACCTCAGTTGTTGCTAATGGCTCGCTAATCGAGGGCGCAGGCTAGCATTATAGATTACCGTTAGCAATAGCAGATATCGTGACTAAATGTAGCAACCAAAAATTGAATTATTTTTCACGTCGTAATCACTTACCTATTCAAGGTTTAACACAGCAATGCTTGGCTCGAAATATAGAAAATGCTAGGATAACTTATTCAGATGCCATCCTCTCCAGCGGGATGTTTTTGGCAGCTCTCCGACGTCGTCGCACACTGACGGCGACAGAAACTTGGCGCGCACTGATGACGTAAGATTCCTCAATGTCTTCTGAAAATACTGGACGTTTTACTGGCAGCAGAAACAGGTAAATGTTCCCTGTTAGCCACTCTAACGAGATTATCGATACATTCAGTCATACAATGTTGTTATAGTGTATTGCCCTGGGTTGTGAAAAGCATCCTAACTTCCCCACGTTCACGGTGTTTCGACCCTAGCCTTGCAGACTCCCATCTCGACCTCATTTTGCGGCCTTGAGCTAATGCTAACGTTATTATTTGAACTGTTCGATACATCGTTGCCAATGTTATGGTACCTGTAAATCAAATTGACCATCCTCTGCGAGTAGCTAATTACTGCTGTGATGCTTTTCACTGCCGTTGTTAGCAAATAGCATTAGCTTTATGCTACGTCAGTTCCTCAAACTGGTAACGTTCTCTTCTTAAAAACACATATTAAAGTTAAGCTGAATTATGATCTGTTTTACTCGCCAATGTGCGTGCCTCCAGGGACATGAGTGTCTTGTGAAATACAAGCATATATTGCATTATTGGTGTTATGTTTAACCTGCACAGCCACATAGATATATAGCTACGCAGCATGGACAAACTGTTTACTTTATTACAAACTATTCACACCCCTTTGTGTATATTAATATATTTAATTATCTTTATGCATATACCTTTTTCTACATTCCTTTTTACGTCTAACTAGTCTTTATGCATTTATTAAACGTACTAATTCACGACCTACATTTTCTTTTTGCATTTACTTTCACAAAAGTCAATAAAAGCTAAAATATGCAAAAAATGATTTTGTTGATTTAAGAAGCAACTAAATAAGCAAAAAGTGACTAATGATTGATAATTATAGACTAATTGGGTAACAGAATGAATACGTTAGCTGGAACAGGAAATCATATACAGTAATACATTACAGATTCATCATATAATAAGAACTCTGCTATTGCTCAACGGATAGCAGCCACAAAACGAAAGTTTAAGGAGAGGAAAATAAGTGTTTTCCCTCTAAAATAATAGAAAATCAAAAATAAATGGCCTATGAAGTTTTACAAATAAATATGCTCTCTTTGCTTTTGATTGAAGTAGGAACATATGTGTTCAAATCAAAAGGGTTGAGGTCAGAAAATGAATGATCTTTTGATAGAATGGCCTCAAACCCTTATCCTCCATCAAAATACACCTGCTGTAAGATGTCCTTGTTGACAAAATTGCCAAGTCACATTTTATTTAGAGAACATTCAATAAAGGAACAAGGCAGAAAGATAAATGCCACAATTTTTCCAAACAATATTTGGTGTATAACGTGAATCTTAAATTATTTTGTTTCACAGCTCAGCCATGAACTGGAACAAAGGTGGTCCAGGTGTGAAGCGAGGGTTTGGGTTTGGAGGATTTTCCCTTGCCGGGAAAAAAGATGAACCCAGCCCTCCTCCGAAATCTCAAACAAATTTTGCACCCCCAGGATCAAGCGGATATGGGAAAAGCCAGCAGCTCCCATCCTTCTACAAAATAGGGACAAAAAGAGCAAATTTTGATGAGGAAAATGCGTAAGTGTTACATATATCCCATTCACACATATGTACACTTTTGCACTTGTCCTTATACCTATATACTATTATACTTATTTGCAGATCAACCGCTTGTTTGTGTTAATGACTAATTAGAAAACTGCATCTTTGTCGTTTTCAACTAGGTATTTTGAGGAAGATGAAGAGGAGTCCAGCAACAATGTGGATTTGCCGTACATCCCAGCGGAGAACTCGCCCACACGGCTGCAGATGCAGACAGGTGGCGGCTCAGACAGTGAAGATGACCCACTGGATGCCTTTATGGCAGAGGTTGAGGTGAGAAGAGAAATACAGTTTGGCAGAGGAAAACTAGAATATTGCATCCAAAGGCCTAATCTCCTGTTCCTCTAACAAATACATGTTTCCTCTCCGACAGAGCCAAGCAGCTAAGGACATGAGGAAACTAGAGGAAAAAGAAAAGGAGAAGAAGTCAGCAAAGTAAGGCTCAACCTTTCTTCGATGTTATTTAAAATGTTTAGTCACTTATGAGGTCCTTATGTAGGTGCTTACATTTAAATTTGACCAGAAGGAAAAAAGCTGTTGCCCACATGAGTTAATATTTTGTAAGCGAAACTATAAGCCACTATATTATATTTACTATAGTGTCAATTTGTATGTACGTTTCACTGTCTTAACTACAAAAAGCAATTAAGCTTTATGCAGAAATTATATTTTAAGTTTCTACAATTACTGGCACAAAGCCTGGCACATCCAGCAATGTTTCGCTGGCTTTAAAGATATCTTAAGGTAAGCACTGAACTTAGTCATAGTGGGATGTGGTCTGTCTTGGGTGTATCAACGAGCCGCAGGGAAGTTTTTTTTTTTCTCCGCTTGTCATTTCAGGGGTATACGTGATGACATTGAAGAAGAAGATGAGCAAGTGAGTGAGCCCTCCAAAGTTCTTCATCTACTACATCGTTGATCAGAGAGGTCTTCAGACCTAAATCTGCCCTCTCTAATTTAGAAAGCCATCTGCATTCCCTTCTGTCTGACCATGCAGGTTGCCTTTAGGATTATTATGATACATTTATTTTCCTTCTGTAGAATATTATTGTTTGAAAAGTGTGAAGAAAGCATGTTTAATTGTTGATTTATGTCAGAAATTCAGTGATGTGAATTGATGATAAGAGATTGTGAATAATTTGTCCTATTGTTGAGCTGAATGTCACCTCAGGTATTTGTCAGCTACTGGCGCCTGGACGCTGCGGTGAGCAGCACACCGGCTCGGTTTTTTACATGAAAAGCTTTGCTCTCTGCAGGAAGCCTACTTCCGCTACATGGCAGAGAATCCCACAGCCGGTCTGACCCTAGAGGACGAGGATGAAAACATTGACTATGACAGTGATGGGAACCCAATAGCCCCTACCACTAAGAAAATTATCCTGCCGCTTCCTCCCATTGACCACTCTGAGGTACAGTTGACCCTACTAAAGGGTTTAGCAATAAGTATTGCCCTGGGCTAGAAAAATGCCATATCAGTCTAATACATTTTGAACACTTAACCCTGTACTGATTGAGCCCAGACAGTTTAAAAGTGCTGTCTCAACCATGGCTCAACATTTGATGTCTTTAACTTGTGTCTAATGAGTGATTATGTTGCGATTCTTTTGTCTTTTGGTCTACAGATTGATTACCCACCCTTTGAGAAAAACTTCTACAATGAGCATGAAGAGCTCAGTTGCCTGACTGCAACTCAAGTGTTCGACTTAAGGCACAAATTGAACCTAAGGGTAAGTATGGGATTCATTTACACTTGTTATACAGCTCAAATCCTACACATGTGATATAGTTATAATGCTGATTTAGTCATTTTATACTGGGCCCCAATCCAATTTTAGGCATGTTTTTCTTTCCTTAGTTGCTGTGAAAGTAACATGAGCATTCATCATACAGACTGTTGTTGTCATCATCATTTCTTCATCACTTCGTCTCTTTCAGGTATCTGGTGCTGTCCCTCCAAAACCTTGCACGAGCTTTGCCCACTTCAACTTTGATGAGCAGCTGATGCACCAAATCCGCAAGTCTGAGTATACTCAGCCCACGCCCATTCAGTGCCAAGTATAGTACACGTTTATTGTATTATATTTATTAAATGTTTGTTCTTTGTTCACTATTTTATTCAAAAATATTGTTTTGTTTTTTTATTCTCAATTTGGCTTTTAGGGTTTGCCCATAGCTCTTTCTGGACGAGACATGATAGGAATTGCAAAAACTGGCAGTGGTAAGACTGCTGCTTTTATCTGGCCCATGCTTGTTCACATCATGGATCAAAAGGAACTGGAGGCAGGGGAAGGGCCCATCGCCATCATTGTGTGTCCCACCAGAGAGCTTTGTCAGCAGGTAAGCATTGGGAAGGAACCAAGTCAAATCTAAAAAAGATATTTGCTTAGTCTTATCTAAAAATACTATTGTGTTTCACTTTGCCAGATTCATGCAGAATGCAAGCGTTTTGGGAAAGCCTACTCTCTGCGTTCTGTGGCGGTTTATGGAGGAGGCAGCATGTGGGAGCAGGCCAAAGCTCTGCAGGAGGGAGCAGAGATTGTCGTGTGCACTCCGGTAAGAGAAGAGATAACCTACATTTGTCTTTGACCTGCCTTCTAGGAAAAACAGCTCCACAGCTGCAGCAAAATTAGATATTTACTGATTATGTGTGTGTGCATAGGGTCGTCTGATTGACCACGTTAAGAAGAAGGCCACGTCCCTGCAGAGAGTGTCATACATGGTGTTTGATGAGGCAGATCGCATGTTTGATATGGGCTTTGGTGAGTTGGCTTGATCGTTATTGTATCAAAGATGTTTTAAAAGCTATGTGCAATGTAGCTCATTTCTCTTTTCCCTTTCAGAATATCAGGTTAGATCCGTTGCTAGCCATGTCCGTCCAGACAGACAGAGTAAGTGGTGTTCCTTAAGTAAAAGAACGATGTGTCATTGTCATTGGTAGCAAAGCTTCAGGGCCTAATTTATAATTCATATTTCCTTCGCAGCCCTTTTGTTTAGCGCTACTTTCCGAAAGAAGATAGAGAGGCTGGCCAGAGACATCTTGGTAGATCCTATTCGAGTGGTGCAGGGAGACATTGGAGAGGTATGCAGCATCACACTATCTGCAAACATCAATAATTGTTTTGAAACTGCAGATACTCAAAATTGACACATATTGTGTGCTGATTTATTCCTTTTGTTAGATTACTACAACAACATGTTAGGAAGTGTTAAAGGCTAGAGGAAAAAATGTCAGACATAATGGGGATAATATTCAGAGAAAAAACTCCTAATTTCCTAGTGTCTTGACCTATAATTGCCCGAATACAACATTATTCTGTCCTGATTATGGCCGCAAAATGCCATATTTTATATATAAAATAAAAAAACAAAAACATTTTTTTTTATAAATGTTCAATAAAAGGTAATAAAGTGAAACACACTTTGACATGCTTATGCACTATTTTGAATGCCCTCACTTCTCTGACCAGGCAAATGAGGATGTCACTCAGATCGTGGAGATGTTGCCCACCGCGGCGGATAAATGGGACTGGCTGACCCGGCGGCTGGTGGAGTTCACCTCCTCCGGCTCGGTCCTTATCTTCGTCACCAAGAAGGCAAACTGTGACGAACTGGCTGCTAACCTGACCCAGGAGGGCCACAGCCTGGGCCTCCTGCACGGAGACATGGACCAGAGTGAGAGGAACAAAGTCATCAGCGACTTCAAGAAACAGAATTTGCCCGTCCTGGTTGCCACTGACGTAGCTGGTGAGTGCAAGAGAAGGTGGTGATGGAGATGGGAAAGGTTTTCTACTTTCTATTAATTTCCCTCATTGATCCTTTCTATATGAGCAAAACACATTAGGGTCACTTTTTTTTTTTATATAAATGCTTTGGGAAGTGACAGTTTAGTCTTCTGTGCATTGAGTTACAAAACCAATATCAACTCATAAATCAAACTAGGGCTTTAAATAAGGATTGAGTCTAGATTTTAGATTTTTGAAATAATCCTACTCAGCCACCTAATTCTAAAACCAAACACAGGTACAATATCTGTGTACCCTAAACATTGTCTGCAACTGTGCAGAAAACCTGAACTGACACTAACACAAATTGTGAATGAAGCTTCATGCTATCTGGTACAGGCCTACATTTACCATCTTTTGACAATTTCTTCCCCAGCTCGTGGTCTGGACATCCCGTCCATTCGCACCGTGGTGAACTACGACGTGGCTCGAGACATCGACACACACACACACAGGATTGGTCGTACTGGTCGTGCTGGAGAGAAAGGTGTTGCTTACACTCTCCTCACGAACAAAGACACCACATTTGCTGGTGACCTCGTGAGAAATCTGGAGGGAGCTAATCAAGCTGTTACCAAAGAACTGATGGATTTAGCCATGCAGGTGAGATAGAGAACTCAGAGAATCCAGAACAGTAAGTCTATTGGTTTTTAGGAGATTATGTTTTAACATTATTTTGTTCACATTCTTCCTCAGAATCCCTGGTTTAGGAAGTCCCGATTCAAGAGTGGTAAAGGGAAGAAGCTGAATATTGGCGGAGGTGGTCTCGGTTACAGAGAGAGACCAGGCCTTGGGGCTGAAAGTTCTGTGAGTTACTTTTTGCACCACTCTAAATCTGTAACGGATTCCTAGGAATTACTAAACACTATAAGATTAAACAAATATAATCAAACTTCAAGTGAAACCTGTAAACGTTGATCCTCTTGACTGCTTTAAATATTATTTGCATGGTTGTGTTTAGAGAAATTTCATGGAGATGTGAGTAATTCTCTGTTTTTGCAGGAACGCAACATGTTGTGTAGCAGTAGCTTTGAAAGCTACAGCAAACCAGCCACTGGGGCGATGGGAGACCGCATGACTGCGATGAAATCAGCCTTCCAGGTAGAATCAATCAAAGTTTATTTATATAGCCCAATATCACAAATGTTACATTTGTCTCAGGGGACTTTACAGTAGAACTCTGCTTTCTGCTGCTCTCTCTTCATTAGTATGTCTTCATTATTTCTTTAACTTAATATCACCATTATTGATAGTTTTATTATTTTTCTCTGCTCTTGCCATTTTTTGATGAAAATGTAAATGTTTTTAAATGTTATATTGTTTTTTTCTCTACTTCCATTGCTATGAAATTAAGTATTTCCATACTTTCAATTTAAACATTTTGAAATTATACTAAAATACTGTGTGACTTTATAGATACTTGGGTTATGGATGAGAGAGTAATAATTATTACAACTAAAACTGTTGTGTTATTATTCAGGTGTAGAAATGTTCAAACTGCAATGGCAAAGAATTTTAAAAAGCAAAAGATTCAGCATCTGGCCACAAAATGGCAGACACGGCAACATAAGATGAGAGCACAGAAACCCTTGTTTAGCCAACTCTGAATGTTGTGTTGTCACAACAAGATTTAAAGTAGGTACTTCTTGTTTTGCCTCGCAGGCAGCTCATCTCTCCCTCTCAATGTCTTTTCTTCTAGTCTCAGTACAAGAGTCACTTTGTTGCTGCGTCCAGCGGCCCCCCAAAGCTCAGCACTAAGTCTAACAGCACGTCAGGCTGGACCAGCGCCGGCAGCCTGAGCTCTGTGCCCACAGAGTCTGCCAACGGCTCCGAGTGGTCCCAGGGGGCTGCCATGTCCATGTCTGGCTTCACTAGCGCTGGCTCTCTGAGCTCTGTGCCGGCCAGTCAACCCAGTCCACAGCACAACTTCCCCCCGCCTGCCCCTCCCCCGCAGAGAGACACCCAGCGGGACAGACATGGGGAGAACCGAGGACGCCACGACAGTCATCACCCCCACAGCGAGAGGAGTGACCGATACAGTGGAGAAGAACGCTATGGAGACCGGGATCGTCGTGGTGGAGACGGAGACCGCGATCGCCACGGAGACGGAGACCGCGATCGCCACGGAGACAGAGATCGTGAACGCCACGGGGACCGGGAACGCGGCAGCGGCAGTAGCGGCAGTAGCAGCAGCCGCCACAGCGAGAGTCGCAACGGAGATGGAAGCAGGAGGGAAAGAGAAGATCGGAGGAGCGAGAGGGACGGGGGAGACAAAGGGAGTGGGGAGGGGAGGGACAGAGGAGATGATAGCTTTGCTGTCCCTGAACCACCAAAGCGTAGAAAGAGCAGGTGGGACAACTAAAAGCAGGAAATCTACGTATCAATAGAATAATGTGTGCAACTGCTCAATGATGAGCTTGTCTGTTGTGAAGGCAGATAGCAGAGCATATCAGAGGCTGACACAAGCACAAGAGGAGAGGTGTGGACTTTGAATAAAGGTTCACTGAGATCCTGTCAGGTTGGTTAGGTCATGATCAGAAAGATCAACAGAAACAGCTCAGAGACAGTTACTGTACATATGTCATCATGACTGTTGTTATTGTAAGTCAATAGGATCAGGCAATAGAGCTGTAATGAAGCCAGCTGTCAGTAAACAATTCAAAGCTAGGACACGTTGGTTATTGCAAGGTTTCCTCTCAATGAGTTCCTATTCCTAACATGCTTTTGTGCTTGATGCTTCATTTTATTTCCTGATGGATCTTTGCCAAGTCGTGCATTTGTGTTTGCGTTTTGTTAATCTACCAAACTAACTCTGTTTAAGTGCTCTGTCTCGATTCAAAGTCACACACATGTTAATACAATGTATAGCTTTTTTGTGTCTTGTATTCGAGTTCTAGTGAAATGCCTTACTTTGGCATTTAGTCTGTCTATGCTTTGAAACTGTTTTTCAAGAAAGATGCATTTGTTTTGTATGGGAGGAATTTCAAGTGTTCATTTACACGTGGAAAATGTGACGTTTTGATTAAAAATACTTCTTTGGCATCGACTTTTGTATCTGCTTTTCTATGACAAACTGTCCCTAATACAAATGAATATGAAAAGCTAATATTTAAAGGCAATTACATAACAAACAAATATGTATACACATAAATAAACATTCTCTCCAAAAGCTGATTACATTTTTTGTTTGAATAAATAGCCATTTAAGTAGATAGTTCAGTTTGAGCAGTAATGGAGTTAACGTACGTTAATTATTAAGAGCTGCCTTTGGCCACTGGGAGGCAGTGAACACCCATGACTTTAAGGTCGACCGTTAATTGTTTATTTTGAAAGAATTAGCAGTAAGTGTTACAATAAAACCATCTTGTCTGTGACGTTGGTAACTATCATTATGCATCATACTTTGTTAGCAGGTCATATATGTTGTGTTTTTGTCTAACTAGAGTAATTTCAGCTGTCAAATAAATGTATAGGGAGCTATTGTTCAATAGTTTCATCTGAGTTGAAGAAGAGCAGCAGCACATTTAAATATGTGTCCGTCGTGTTAAGACTTATTTGTGTCATAGATAGTAGAAATTGAAACCAAACGGCACTGTTTCAAAAATCAAAACAAATGTAGAGTTGACTCCATTACATACATTTGTATTATTTAGATAGTATTGTATATTTTCAAAGAAATACATAACAGAAAAAATCCATACAAGGACATTGTCAATTTCATAGTATGCATGCACATGGTCCTGTATCATGATTTACTCCATAACATTGATATACTTTTTATTCTATATTATCTTATTTTATTTTCACCCTGTCTTAAATGTATTGTCTATGAGTCTCACTTGTTTTTTGTGTTGCTTTTTTTTTTAAAGGGGAGCGGCCAAGATGGTTTCAGTCAAGGAATTGCCTTATCGTGATCAAAATGATTTACCCTATCAAAATATGATAGAATTGAATAGAATAGAATAATCAAAAGAGTACTTCTTCCATCACTAGTTCTAGTGGGGAGGGATAATACACTTAACAGTGCCATCCTTGTTCGATTCTCAGCTGGGATTTGTCCGACAGTCAGTGAATGCATCACGAGCAGACGAGAACCAATCGCGTGCGACATCCTGCTGAAGAAGAAGAAAAAAAAAACGCTCTGTTGAAAATCGAGACGTGAAGCGAAGCAGAGGCTAGAAACTAACCGGCATCTGGGCCAGCAGCGTCTGCAACAAAAGCCTCGCAAAAACCTGCTGAATGAGAGAGCAAATATCCACCTCCAGCAACTGAGTGAACAGACGTTTTGAGCTAGTGTGTGGCAGACAAGAAGCGCAGATGGTGAGTGTGTTTCACCGTGTGTCTGCAGCCTCCCCTCCCTCCTCCCTGCTCTCCTCTCTGCTTCTGTTTTTTGTGTGAGATGAGGTGAGCTGATGATGTCGGTCCGAGGGGGTTAGCTAACGGGGAGCTGTTTTCTTATACATGCGGTGGTGCAAATGATGGATGTTAATGCAGTGTGTATGTAGGTAAAAGCTATCGTAAAGAGCCTTTTATGTTGAAATTAAGCAGAATTGAGCCCCCCGCCGTCGTGTTCCTCAAAATGCTAGCAGTGTGCTCTGCTTGTGTTAACGTGAATTAGTTAGCTATAGCTTGCTGGCTAATTAATACCAAAGGTGGTTTTTCAACCCAGTGAATAAAACATCAACCACAAATCACCCCTGCTAATGAGTTATATTTGTAACAGATAATTAATTTTAATTGTAGGCTACTCCCCAATCAGCCGATTCGTAAATTGATTTTGTGGTTTTAATATCATGTGCCGTCATTGTATGTTGTTGTTTTGTTCAAGCAGCAACCTAAGCTGCTGGGTTTTTTTGTTGTTGAAAATGTAGGCTCCGATCACACAGTGTTACATAAATGTCTTTAGTAAAGCAAGTATATGTACACACACAGAGGTCTGTACTAGGAATTTAACCCAATAGACCCCAAACAAATTATGCACACAAATTAAGGCTAAATCAATTGTATGGCTATTTTAAATGTAGCCAGCACTACCGTATGATATACTTGAAACCTTAAGCTTGTTATCTTGGTTATTAATCTTTTCCTACTTTTGATCTTAATTTACAGATAATATCTAATCTGAAAATCTGGTTATTTACATCAAAATTAAAATGATGACAGTATCCAGGTTTCTGATAATCTCTCTCAGCCACTCCCTTCTGTACCAACACAGACTGATGAGGAACCTAAGTGTGGTCTTCACATGCCACAGTATACTCTAGCTATATGCACACATCTGGGTTTAAAACTAGGATAAAATACTCCAAATAACAGATCACAATTGGGAGACCGAATTCAGTGTGAAATACTCTTCTGCAGCTACAGATTGTCATCTAAGTAATATCAAATGGACAATTGGATTAAACATCTATGTAAATCAGCAATGGTTTCAAAACTATCACCAGTTGGAAGCAAAACATGTGTTTTTTACAAATCTCTTGCCTGTGCTTGTGTTGTCGACTAGTTTACAAACTGCTCTGTGGTCTGGTTGAACCACATTGTATCCATCCAGCGCACCACATTTACAGCAGTCTCTCATTTTAGCTCTGGCATATGGCGGCAAGGCTTAAGTAAATGGTCTTTTTCATTTCCTGCCACTGCCAGTGGGCTGCCTGAGTGTAATTTCAATCTGAGTTGACAGCACAGATTGACACCCTGCTCTGCTGGTTGATTTACGTCACTATTTTGGTGGATGCTGTTGCTGTAATTGGAGTTTTTGTCCAAGATGATTAACAAACAATGCAGATCTAGGCAAAGCACGTTGTACAAAGCTGTGGTTAGGACAAATAGCATTTATTTAGTTTGACCATATGCTATTATTACAAAAATGACCATTAACGACACAAAAACCTGATTTGTTGGGCTCGTCAAAAGGACCATATAAGGGGAGGGGGGATGTTTTCCTGCTGTCAGATGTGCCCAAAAAATGGGTCGCCAGCAGGTCTAGCGATAGAGCTGCAGGCCAAAATGTTCAGATTAATAGTTTTATTGTATAGTCAGGGTGGTTGTGTGAACAAAGGAACACTAGGCCTACTTCATGCCTGCAGAAAATCTATGTTTCTGTGTGTTATTCAGTGGTTCATATTTTTTGGAAGCACTAGTTTTGGCTGCATTGTTCATGTCAGCTGCACATGAACACCACATTGAGGTTCTAGTCTTTAGACAAATCGTCCAATTGCTAATTTGCATTATTTGGTTCCTAAGGGCAATGGTAAATACTTAAAACATTACCCTCACTGTCATTTGTTTGATATATAAACATGTTCTGACATGGTTCACTGCAGTCTACTGAAAATCACATCTCTGATAAAGGTTCAGAACATTAGCATTAATACAGATGTCCAAGCCCATCACTCCCCCCTGTATTTGCGTGAATATTTTCAGTATAAATTGTCTAAACAACAACCATGCATTCCCATTGCTTTGCCTCTCTGTGGCTGTCACCACTGATCTAATGCAGGCTATCTGGTTTGAAAGCACCTTAGGGCGGACTGTTTAGAAAGACTCAGCCAGTAGAGTATCGTCCATCAAAAGACGATGTCCTAGAGTCACATTTTGAATTCTACAAAGCTTTGGAAATCTACACTCTGTAACTTAAATGATCCACATATATCTGGGAAATAACTACAAAGACAACCTTATTGGCGAAAAATGTCTGAATTCCCTCGTTCCTACATCTTTCATTGTCCGAGTCAGCAACATCTGTGGGCCGTAAAGAAGCGTTTAATGAACATATCTCTCATTACAGAGAGTTTTTGCATGCGAGTTTCTTTTAAAGACACGATAGGGCATGTTATTCAGAGTTCTAGTCCCAAGAATTGGGTTGTAAATTGTTCCCCCTCTCCTTCAGTGTGTGATAACATCTGATCAGAAGAAGCACTTGAGGCTGTTTCTTCTCTAGCTTCAGCCAGTTGCAAAAGCCAGCAGCCTCTTACTCTGTCAAGTCACCACAGGCTCCTCAGCACATTCTTTTACAGGCTGTCACTGGTTTTGTTCTTTACAATTTTAAGATGAAAACATAGACAGACCAGCTGTTACACAATACCAACACCAACCATTTGTTATTATGGTCATTGCAGGTGTGGTTTAGGAGCGAAATCGATAAATGTTAAGCAGTGTTTCTTTACAAACACATGTTGTATTTTGCTCTCTGACTTTATTAGTTGTATCTGAATTTACGAGATATTTTAGCATGCAATTAGAATGATCTTTGACACAAATGATCAGAGAACTTAGTAGTTGTTCTTGATTGTGCCCTCAGGCAGCTTCTTCAAAGAAATGAAAAGGACTCGCTGAGCAAAAGTCTGTCAGCAAAACTCATAGTGGTGCAGAACTTATTTTCCGGTGAGCAAAAGTTGCTGACTAATTAAACGTTAAAGAAATCTGTATAATCTTCGCTTTCTGAAAGGGCAGCAGCTTCTCAGCAATGGGTTGAATATGTTATAATCTTAAGTGTTTTGTATTTGCTCAAGTTTGCCTTTTATATCAACAAAAGGTTCACGCCTTTCTTATGATCTTATAAAAGTAGTCTAGACCTGCATCGATTAGGTTGATTTAAATACTCTATGAAGTACTTTCTCAAGCAAAAACTCTGTTAACGGGACATTTTTCACTATTTTCTGACATTCAATTGACAAAATGATCAGAAAAAAAAAATGGTAATCTATAATGAACATTTTTAATAGTCACAGTTTTTGACAAGGTTTTTACAATTGAGCACTTTTGGGCTCTTGTCATACTTCAGCAAAAACAAGTGTTTGGCATCAGCAGACTAAGAAGACATGCAGACATTTGAGACACTGTGACCTCAAGCAAAAAAAAGTGCCCTGTCACTTTCTTGTTGCATGCAGGAAGCTAAAAAAACGGAAGCGAAGTACTGACGGACAAAATTCCCCGACATGCTCCAAAATATGATTACTGCGAACTAGTGTGGCAATCCTCCATCTGCACTCAAAGATAATTTCATCCTACTCTCATCAACAGAGCCTGTCAAGTTTCAAAACCTCAAGCAATACTCACTTCTCCAACACATAAAGGTTTTGTAATTAACCACATAACAATCCTGAGTTTTATTTTCTCCCCAGGCCCCTCTTTGACTTGACTTGCTTTGTCTCTTCATGTTCGGTGTTATTGATGGAAAATTGCTGTCAAGGGGAGCCTATATATCTTAACTGTAGCAGCTGTTTAGTTGTTAGATGGATGGTGCCATGACGTGCGGGTCCAGAAAGTGCAATGCACAGCAGGCTGCTTTTCTGCAAAAACAAAAACACATTTAAAGGGATGGTTTGTATTATTAGAAGTGAAGTTGTTTGAGGTACTTGGTCATAGTCAGTGTATTACTACAATTGATGGTGGTTGGCACGTCCCAGTTGGGAGAAGCACAAAAGTTACACATAAAACAAGCTAACTAATTGATCACACAGTCACAGACCGTGGTAAAATGTGTGTTTTTGGTTTTTGGATAGAATAGGTTTTGATGCTGCCCCCTGTTTCGTTGTGTTTTTTGAAGTATGAGGTTCTCCAAATTTGTTATGCTGTTTTTAACATTCTTAAAATGTTAAAAGAAAACCCTAACCTAACCGAACAAATAAATAAATGAATTCATTTCTAAAAATAAGGAATGAGAGAGAGTGGGAGCCTTGTTTTGGAGTGAGGACATAAGACCGTTGTTAACATAGCGCCTGCCTTTCCTTCTAGGGGCCTGTTGCAGTGAATCGTGCTCACTGTGTGTCCTGAGTGATGATCAAGTGTGAAGATGGGGGGTGGTTGTCTAATTGTGTAGTGTCCATCAGCACAAGGAACAGAGGAGTTACTGCTTCCCTTTTGAACTATTTATGAACATGTTGACCTTTCACCCTCATAGTATGGCTGTGATGTGCGTCAGCAGATAGCCTTTGTAAACTCTGAGATTTAGACAAGAGGGGTCTGGTTCGTAGTTTTGGCACTTGATTTGCTTGCATAACAATGAAGGACTTGCACATGTTATTCCAAAGTTGTTGTGTAAACTACTCCTAAAAATGCTCTGCCTATTACATCTTTTACAGATTTTAAAAGAATAATGACATTTATCTCCCGTCACATGGTGGGTGGTCTGTGGCCTTAGGGAGAAAGGAAGTGAGATTTGTGACAGTAACTGAGGATCCCTCAACACAAAAGAGTAAACCCAGACAGCTCGTTTAGAGCTAAAGAGGATCTGTTAAAGGACATCCTCAGAAATACACATATTAGCTTTTTGCTGAGAGGTAGATGAGAAGATTGATACCATTCTTGTGTCTGTAGAATAAATATGAAGCTGAAGGCCAGCAGCTAGTTTATTCAACATGGCATGCAAACTAGAAGGGAAATGCAACAGCGAGTTATGGTTTTACAGTGAGGATATGTTCCCTACTTATCCTTCAAGGAATTGCTGTGCTTTCTCCTTTTCAGTCGCTAAGATAAGTGCCTGTTGGTTTTGTGGCTTTATATTTACATTACAGACAAAAGAGTGCTATTGATCATTTCCCCAAAAGCTCAGGAAGATCGTGAAAAGACATGTATCTCCAAATGTCAAAGTATCTTTAAAAACCTTTTAAATAAACAAAGGAAACTTGGCCCTATTCTACCAAACAAGTCTGGGTGGTTGCAATATGAACCGACTTGTGCAGGTGCCATTTCAAATTGATGCTGTGAGGTAAGAGTTGAACCTCTGTTGCAAGTAGATTTCAGCACTTGTGTGAAAGTGGTCTTTGTTTGGTAAGAGACACCGCTCTCCAGCTGGCTCTAGCTTCTAGCACAGTGGTATGTCAAATTGCTTCACAGTTAAAACTGTGTTTAGCATAGCAAGCAGTGCTAATGAACTACACGACAAACCTCCTTTATTTCTGTTTACATTGAACACCTTGTTCTGTGTTAATGAAGGCCCCCTCTTCCCACTCACTGGTGTATTTGGGTATCCTTTGTCTCTTTTATTAGTGAGGAGGAGTCTTGAGCTCATTTGTGAGTTGATCATAAAGAGATCATAAATCAATGTTTATTCACTCTGCAACTAAAGCATTCATACAGAATAAGTGGTTGTTTGCTTTGAGTTGAAAGTCAGCTCTGACTCTGCTCTGTCCCTGTGGGGACTATGCAAGATGTGTCATAACAACTTCCTGCCACATTTGAGCTGTTTAGCGGCAATTGAGACTCATGCACATATATGGTAAAAGAAGACAAGATGGCACAACCTCATCTGAATTCTTCCAGGATGCTTGTGTGTTTATGTGCGGAATGCATGCCTACCTCCTAACATGGTAACAAATCTTGCTGAGTTGATGGCAAAAAGCATTGGCAGTTTTGAGCCTTCAATCAGGTCTGTTTTTAAATGTTTTGGCCGCATTAATTACATGATTTCACATGTACAAATATAGCCCTTATCGACCTAATTTCCTTCCTTTTACAGACTCTCACTGATGTTAACCTCCACTACGAACAGACTGTGAGAACTTTACACATTCCAAGTTTCATAAGAGTTTAAATTATGTTGAGAAGATCAAAGTCACGTCAGCTCAGTGGCAGCAACAGGAAGTGGTAGAGCATGCACTCTTCTAGATAACCAGCAAAGTGTGACCTGTCTGCTAGCTTAGCAGCAACATATTCACTGAGCTCAGGAGGAATCTGGGATGAAGAGAAGTCAGTTGGGATATGATTGCATCTACAGGAAGCTGCATGGCCTCACTTAATGAGACAATCGTTTCATAAACATGTCATCCGGTTCTCATAAGTGCCGACAACATCCTCGCTGCTCAGTTGTTAAGTGGTGCATTAAGGTAAAAGGGTCCGATAGTATTCAATATGAGACAACAAACATCTGCCAACCAATCTCTGGTTATATTGGGCTGCGAGAGATGTTCCACATCAGTGAGCAGGACCGCTCTGTCAGCATGGATCGTGTACTAAATACTCATTGAACATTTTGTGCTGATCATGGCAGTGACGTCTTTCAAAGAGAGGTTGACCAAACACCAAGCTGAAATAATGGTGTGCCCATATTTGGAAGGCAGTGTGTGTTTTTTTTGTTAAGTGTTAGATTCAGCCTTAAACATACAAACAGTTAAATGTTAGGGGGGATTTTCTCATTAAGAAGAAGTATCTTGATTGTTAAGATGTTTATCTTGCTGTACTCATTAAAACCGACTCTTCTATCTGTATGTATGTGGGATTAACTGTCAACTAGAGATATAATAATATAACATTTAAATCAACTTTGAATGTGAGTGTTTACCCCTGGGTTTCTTCATTGAACACTAAAATGGTCATAAACACGCTCATATCATCACTGGGGGCGGACAATTTGTTAATTCATCACAAAGCAAGACCTTTCACAATCAAAGAGTGATGGAGCTAAAGATCTCCTTCTCTCTGCAGCTCTGTCAGCAGCCCTTGAACCGCCTCACTCCCCCCCCCCTCACACCACCTCCACCACTTCCTCCTGCTCCAGCCAAACTGCCTTACATAACAGGGTTTTAGCAAAGTCTGCAGTGGACTTTTCCCCTGCCTGAACAGAGGCTGCCCTTCTTCCCCGCACACTGGCTTTTCTATGGCAGTTACCATGTACATGCCTGAATGTCTCTGGCTGTTTATGATCTGCTTGAACTACCTGTTAGCCCAGCTGGAAGATGTGGCTGTTCTTGCTGCTGCAGGGAAGCTCGTGATAGTGCAGGCTTTTTTTTTTTTTTTTAACCTTCTTAACATTTCCAGCGCCTCAAGGGGAAGTCTTTCAATTCCTCCTGTCATCAGAAACCAAACTGTAATTACCAGACACCAACAATGTGCGGGAAAATGTGGTGACCTATGTTATATGGCAGCCAGAGAATTAAAGAGTAAACCTACAAGTGAAATACATGCTTTCTTATGTTTGCCGATTGCAAAGTTACGATGATAAAGACTGGCAGACTAGGTGAATGTGTCACTGTGAAATCTCTGGCCATTTCTAAGTGACTTCATGTGATGTTGCCCTGTGAATTGTCTTAACTTAGAAGACTGGTTCTTAGCTGTTCTGCTATGTTGAGGGCAGCCCCATGCAGAGTGTCCCACAGCGCAGCTCACATGCCCAGACAGAAGGCACCTGATCCTCTCCCAGGGGTGCAAAGTGACAGATGGAGCAAATAGAAAGAGGCGGGGGGTGAGAGATTTAATTGACAATACCAACACAGGAATGAAGGTAATAAGAGGACAGTGAAAAGGATATTCTTCGGCTCTTGTGACGTTCTTCTGTTGGTTGTTAACTTAACTACATATTTTTTTGGAAGCAGACTCAGAAGATTGTATCACCCAGGTTTCCTTTAGAAAAAAACAATTTTGGATTAATGTAGAAAACAGGCTCTTAAAGCATAAATGTTATGGCCAATATTCAAAAAGCTAATATTTGGCTATAAACAAAGTACACCATGGAGGCATGACTGCAACATCACCACCACTTAAGCTTCCAATGTGTAATTTGATTTGTGCACTTACCTCTTCTACAAAAGCCTTTCCTCCTAGCATGATACATTGATCTAAGTTGGAAAGTTTACAAGAGAGTGTGAAAATATCTTAAGCTTTTGTTAACCAAATACCTTATTTTACCAAACTTCATTCGATGTGTTTAAAAAGGATCATTTGTTTACAGGTTTTAAGACACAATGCTGCAGAAATTATTCATTGAATATCCCCGAAGAACATAACAGGCATCATTTCACACATTTGAATACATTTGTTTACCGGTTTGTTTTTCTGTTTGTTCATCCAGGACACCAGGAATACCACTGAAGAGAAACCTGTCCAGCGATCCAAGGTAAATATAAGCATCGCCTGTCTCTTCTATCTCATTCCTCATGTGTATGCTCTGATCTTTTTCTCTGAGTGTCACTCTTGCCCCACTACACATTCATCAGCCTTTTGATCTCAAAACAGAGTAAAGGAACTCTTTCCTGGGGTTTGTGTCTATTGTAAATGCCAGCTTTCATCTCGCTGAGCATGGAGGCCGAGAACACTGCCTGTTTGTGTGTCTGGTCGTAACTCTGTATGTTTATGTGCTCAGTCCTTCAGCTTTAAGACCCAAAAGGAAGTGTGTTCATCATGCGAGAAGACCGTCTACCCGATGGAGAGATTGGTTGCCAACAACCTGGTCTTCCATTCAACATGCTTCTGCTGCAAGCACTGCAACGCCAAACTTAGGTAAATGTCATTACTATTTTTGGACTCCTTTAAAACGTAGTAATTTCCCCGGGTGGTCGTGGTTGTACAGTGTAAGATCAGTGTATTTTATGAATGTCAAGTATGAAGGCATCATTGTTCCTATTATTTCCTACTTTCCTATAATTTGCATATGTGGTCTATGAAATTGTTTGTTTACATTACTTTCTTCTTCTCCTCTCACCTTCTGGTTTTTATATAACTGTTGTATTCCTTCTCTCCCTGCAGTCTTGGAACCTTTGCAGCTCTTCAGGGTGAATTTTACTGTAAACCCCACTTTCAGCAGCTGTTCAAAAGCAAAGGCAACTACGACGAGGGCTTCGGACGCAAACAGCACAAAGAGCTCTGGACCGCCAAGGAGGGAGATAATCTAACAAAGACGGCATAATGATACCTGCCTCACTCCATCCATGCCTCTTCTTTTCCTCCTCCTAACACCTCCAATACATCACGATGAACACATGCCTCATATGCTGGGGCACTGTTAAATCACCCACACGCTTACTCGCTTTTTAAATACCATCAAAACAGATACAGGCACAAACAGGAAATGACTGGCCAGTCATTATCCATACTATTTTAAAATGTAATTTTGGGGATCATTTTTTGGGTTCAATTTAATTGATATCTATATTTTCCTTTTTTATTCCCCAATTTCCCGTTTGGAGTTGGTAGTTGATTGTGACCAAAAGCCTTCCCCGAAATGGGGAGTATAATCAAATTAATCACTTTTCTTTTCGTATTCTTTTGAAGAATTTGCACCGTTTTATTTCCTTTTTAATAAGTAAACTGTATGCTCAGGCAAACATTTCAGAGGCGCTAAAGAGCATCCCTGTTTTGCAGTAGAGTATACACTCAGGTCAATTTTCACCCAAGGATTAAAAAAACACACATAGTTTCACTTATTTAAAATACACAAATCATAATAATACTCCTCGATATTGTGACTTTGCTGTCAGTTTGCTAGGTTTCACATATTTGAGGAACAAACAGGGTACAGAGTACTGTAAAATAACCTCGCACATCAGCAACAACTCACCTCGTTTTAGTTCCATCATTGTTCGCTTCATCCCGTGGTTTGTTCTTATTTTATTGACCACTGTTAGTCTTATCCTTGCATGTTGGGATGACTGGGTCTTAATAGCCTTATCTTATGACTGTATTGATCTTTTGTGTCGTGAATGATTTTATTTGTTTCATTGATGCATAGCTAATCACTTTTTAAGGTTTTTGAGAAGCTCCTGAGTTTGGATTTGATTTATGTCGTGGCATAAGATAATCCTCTCTGAGCTTTTATTGATGGTGGAAATTTAATGGAATTCTCAGTTTGTGTTTTGTATACTATCTGTACGTAGAGCTGTAGTTTGTGATTTAGTGAACATTCCCCACCCTACTGTACTCTCGTCTTGCACATATGACCACACATGATCACCGGACAAGATAATCACAGGGAAACTGAGGCCTCGTCCGTAAATATCCCTCACTCCGGCAGGTGAAACATCTTGAGAGGAGCTGTAAACATTTGGTTGAATTGATTATTACATTTGTCACAAACCAGGTTGTTGAAGGACAGAGCTTAAGCCTTGCAGGAAACCACAACATTGTATTCCCTCATCATTTCATCACAGTCAGTTGTTGTCTTGTTGTGATTTCTCCCTGTGTTGTATTTGAGAGTGCTCATATAGCTGGACAGTTATTTTATGGTGGTCATAGAGGGATCCAATTTAGTCAGTGTCTTGAACATCCATCGTTTTGTTACCCCCAGTAAGTGTGGACAGGTTAACTTTTTAAATAAATGCCTTCCTGTTCTAATCTCCTGTCTTATTAGCTAAATACATCTTAGCGCCTGGACCTATTTCTTAGTAATGAATTTAAAGAAGGTGGCTGAGGTAGGGTTTGTCACAGTATTAGTCCCCACTGTGCTCCTGCATGCTGCATGCAAAACCCATTGCGGAGCACCCCCTGCTGGGGAGAGTGTGACAGTAGTGTCTAGTGAGAAAGAAAGAAAAATGACTTGCCCCTCAATTCAACTTAGCCTTTTATTCAAAGTTTTTGAAAACGTTGCCTCGGTCTCCAGTGCAGCTGCACTCCAGACATTTTTATTTATTTTTATTTTATTCCAAAAAGAGAATTTATCCACATTACACACGATTTACTCTTTATATTTCATTCTATACAAAGAATGAGTCAATAGCCATTCAAATATCTCATAAAAGGAAAATGTCCGAATACCACTGAGACTTGTCTTACACTTGATTGACACAAAATGTAGTTTTTGTGACTGAAGGTTTACTGTGAATTTCAGCATGCTGTGCAGAATTGAAACTTAACTGAAACATGGATGGATATATCTGCTACTTTCTTTCTTTCTTTCTTTTAAAGAGAAGCCTTAGGAATAAATTGCTGACCTTATTACTTTTTCAAATGAGCACACACCTTGACGAACAAATGTCCTAATGCCTTTTCAGCAACAGACCAGTTTAGTTTAGAGGCCCACTCTTAAACATAAGATTACGTCACTCAACCAGCAGCCATTTCCCCCATCTAACCTCTTCTTATCCACATAAATGTACAAAGTTCTGTATTTGACGAATATAAAATTGTCATCTGAAACCCTGAGAATGCTTTAAAATCAAGAGTAATGTATCTAGAAATGCTGTCTTTGTCATTCTCTGTAAGCAGTTCGCCAAGGTACAACTGCAGAATCTGTGAATTGCAACTTCTCAGTGTAACAGAGCAGACTCTTAACGCTGGTGCCAAGAGGCTCAGGTGAATGATTGCAGACTAACGTCATAAATGTTAAACCTGTGAGTCATTTCATTTGTGTGCTTATGTTGTTGAGGACTTACGTTTCAATGCTGTTGTCAACGAGACATTTTAAATGTATGCATCTTTGAAAATGTATTCTGTGTTACAGACTTGACTTGTGGATTGAGGTGGCCTTACAGCAAAAGGACGCTTGGACTGTGTTTTCAGTCGTTCTCCTCTCTTCTCCCTTCTCTCTGTTACTTAGTTTGTTATGAAAGTGTAACATTTTAAAATGTAAGCGCCCCCCTTTCTACGCCTATATACACAATCATTTTGTGCATTTTCTTTCTTTTTCTTTTTTACATGCTTTTGGAGAAAAAAAATAAATGCTGGTGTTGATTTAACTCCGTGATGTTTGTGTTTTAATTAATGTAAAGATAAATCCTTGAATTCCAAGGACAATAAGGACTGAATCTCTTGATGCGAGAATATGACAATGTCCAGCTCTTGAATTGTTAAATTCCTGTCCGTTTATTTCTACTTTTAGACGCTTTATAAGTTCCGATTTTGGCTTAACCATTCATGGTTCCTGCTTCCCCATGTGAAGATTTGCTGAAATTCTGAATGTGTCCCTTTGGGTTCTGAGTAATTAGGATATAAATTCTCACTTTTCAGATTTTTTTAGAAACCAAACAAAGAAATAAAAAGAGATAAACCTGTGATAAAAATGTCCATTAGTTGCAGTCCTATAACAAACTGTTAGAAATTACTTAACCCTTTCACGCATAGAGGCTACTACAGTGGACAGCTTTTCAAAAGGTGTTTTCTTGTATATGCATGGGTTTTGATGGCATAGTTGCACCATCAGCCACTACATAGGACCCTATTGCATCATCCCATACACTGCTACTCAGTGGAAAGTCAGTGCAAGTGCATGATAAATGTCTCTAAACCAAGATGAACGACAGAAAGCCAGATGGACCAAGTCACCTGCCGATATCCTGCCAATCCTTTCATGGAAAGCGCTCCCTGCAGGTATAAAACATTTGGTGACATCAAGTAACAACTAAGGAATCATATAATTCATAAATAGTCAAAGTATTGATTATATGTTTGCAGGAAATCATGATTATTCGCCTGTCCACTAAAGTGGACGTCATGCATCACTGGCTATATTTCAACTAAAATTCATACTGTTACTGCTACTGTTCTTCTTGAAAATACTTCATTTGCAATATCTTTTTGGGCCTTAAATATATATACTTAAGTTATTATAATGTAATTTTAAGTTTGCACATCTTTATTTATCATTTTTTCCAAATGTACAAGTTTTAAGTTTAGACTTTTAACCCATATGCGAGTGGACATATAAAACATTTTTTTTCTAAATTTGAAAAAACTTAAAGTTAAAATCTTGTTTTTCATGCCCCAAAGGCAATAAAAACACTTGGTAAAAAAATCCTGTGAGGCTTTCATAATTCATGCATGAAAGGGTCTAACTACAACAGTAAAATCATGCTTTAACATAAATGCATTAGTAATGATAATATAATGATATATCTTATTGCATGATAGTCACAGAGGACATTTTTCAACATTGAGTAAAGTCATTCTTTCTATTTTTTATACTTTTTCATTTTAGCTTCCATAAACCTCATACTATTTTTTCATTTTTCTATTGATCTGTAACTTGTGCTGCTACAACATACAAATTATCCCAATGGGGACCAATAAAGGCTTATTTTACATTAGACCTTAAATGAAGATTACTTGTCAATGCATGTTATATACTTTTACCACAGTATTTATGAACTATGAAATTAGTACTTTTAGATCTTTCATTTTATTTGCAACAACACCTGTTAGGCCCCAAGCCTGTTTTTCAGGTCTCAGGCTCGAAAATGAAATTTCCAGAACAAATGACCATAACTACACTTCTAAAAGGGGAAAATTAATCATCTTTTTTCTCAAAGTAATGATAAACCTGTGAGTTGGATGTAGAAAAGTCAGAATCAATATAGATGTTTTTTATTTTAATAGAAATATAGAAGGTATATATTAATAGAAATAGAAAAAACACTTTTGCTTAAAGAATATGAATACTTCCCCTACCACTGGTGCATCAATATAATGGCAAAAAGCTGCGTGGATGTGCACAATGATACCTTAAATATGGATTTTCCTATAATTATGAAGGCAGCATGAGAGCGATCTACGTCACAACTGGTCCGCCCCTTTAACAATATCGTGAGCGCGCTTGCAGAAAGATTTCGACCGAGTAACAGCGCGCTCCCGCTGCCGCACGGCGTTTATTTAGATAGTTTAGTAACCAGAAATCCCCCTGGGAATAAATCCATGTTTTTATACCCGTATGGGGGACGGAGAGTGAAGCATTTGGAAAACATGGACGCGACTTTGGAGTAAAGTTTTCACGACTTGTTGAAGTTTAAAAAAGCGGGTTCCGGTGGCGATATTTTTTCTGTCAGGAAGTTTGACGTATTCGGCTGGAGATTATTTGTTACTTTGTTTTGCTTTGGGGGGAAGTTGTGGACTGCAGTCGGCTACAGAAACTGCACGCAAACTCTGTGACTCCGAGAAAATACTGCGTTTTCTTTCACATTAGTGTCAGTTTTAATACTTTAAGCAACCGTAATTTACGTACGAAGCTCTGCGAGGTGTAAAACATCGATGGAGTTAATCGAACTCTCCTAAAATAAATCGAGGTTATGTGTACAACAACGTATATTTGAGCCAGTTTTTGCAACATGTCGCGCACTTAATAAAGTATACTTCTTATTAGGCATTCACATGCATTCTTATATGTTTTTTTTTTAACCATATTTAAGTTGCAATGAGATGACAGTATATGCAGAATAAGGATATCTGCAGCCTGCTGTATTGTGGACTCCAACCTGGCAACGCAGAGGAAAATCTGCAAACTTAGCAGGAAGAGGTGCTATCAAAATCACGGAAATTGTTCGGTCTTTTCCTCTGGCGAAGCTGTTGCTTACAAATGGATTTCAAACAGGCCATACAGTTATTCTTACACCTTCATTGGTGGTTTTTGTGCTTCGTGATTGGTGGTATTCAGCGCCCTGATCTGCATGCTTAGCAGAGTCGTGTGTGAACAATGAAAACATGTTTTGGAAATTTAAGTTTTCCAAAGGTCCGAGGCTGCAGCGGATCAGGAGTTAGTCTCTGGGACAGAGCTGGAGAAGCCTGATGTAGCCTGCTTTTTTCCCATTGGAACATTTTCTGTGTAAAAATCACAGCTGTCTGTTTGTTTTTACAACCTGGAGACTATCCGTTTGTGTGAGTGCGTTCATTTGCCGTTGAAGAAGAAGAGTTATCTGGGGGGGGGGGGGGGGTCATGGCGCCCCACTCTCACACACGCTCACCGGTGTGACGGTCTGCCGGTGGACACCGATGGACGTGAGCGACGGCTGGAACTACTGCGTCATCCCTGCTGCGAGACACCGGTGACGCAAACCACAGGTGAGAGTTGTGCACGTGACAGGGATGACAGGTATTTGATGATTGAATTATGCTGCATTCAGGTCATGTGGGAAATTGTTTAACTACAGGTTGTGCCAATTCTCCAATTTCCATTTCAATTAAATTATATATTCATGTATGTCCACTGTTAGAAAGTATGATATACAAATGTATATGATTGTATGTTAACGTTGAAACAGTACCAAATATAAGCAAATAACATTTGAATTAAAAACATTTAAACAAATCGTACATATAAGATCAAATACATGTTTATATAGGCCTACTGAATCAAATATACATGGCCGAATAGGAGCAAAACTCGTTCTAGGATTCGTTTAATAAACACTGTCTTCAATCACATTCCCTGCATTCATTTATCTTCATTTACACAGGGTCGGTTGGCTGAGCATGCATCCTCAATTACAGCACCACATGTTTACATTTGGACAGAACACTTAATTATTTAACAAAACAACATCAAACAGAACACATAATTGTTTTTTTTAAAGTCACATGATATGTAATTAATGGGTTTTAATTGACTTATTAAGGAGGTATTTTACCAATAGTAAATAAGACTGCTTCACAAACAGCAATCCTTCTAGTTCCTGATGCATCATTGAAAGGAAGTGCAGTGAAATAAGTATCTAATTTTCAGAGGTAAATTAGGTACATAATTCACTTTATTATTTATTGGGAAAAGCACCAATAAATAAAGCTTCCAATTAAGTAGAGAGTTATTCATGGTCTGCAATAAGTCCTTTGCATTAATTTGAAATGTATGTACTCAAATACTTACAAGTGTAGGGCTTAATTTGTCAGGTTTGAACACTTTAAACATAAAATAAGAATGAAATGTGGTTGTTGTTCATTGTAGTTAAACTATAAGCTATAAGTCCTCTCTGTGATAGTGTCATGGGTTGTTATTGACATGTAATAGATGTTGATAGCTGTGCCAACTGGACAAAGGTATGGACCTCAGAAGGCCCTCCTACTTTTTCTCTTTGATCTTTGTTAACTTTTCTATAACCTTCACATGTTGTCATCTGTAATGCAGAATAGGAAGATTTTAAAAACTCCTTGTGATTTTGTAGAGCTTATCTCTCGGCATCTTTCTATACAAATAACATCTGTATGTATGTATGTATTGAAACATTACAAGCAACATTTGAAACTTTAGCCAAGGCAAGTAACGAGATTTTGAGACTGTTGACATTGCAATATTCAAATGTGGTGGGTTACCTTGAACCCAAAACACGTGCACCTGAAACAGGAGAGTCATCAGGCCAGGGGATTTTGCTGTGAAGCACTGAGTCCAGATGCATGACTGGCCAAAGACAGAGTAAGAACTGTGGCTGGGAAAAACAGCCTCAGACTAAACACCTCTCAAAGCAGACAGAAAAGAGAGGGGAAGAAAATCCATGTAAATCCTGCTAGTCCTGGAAATGTGATACAAGACAAATAAAGCGGGCACAGCTGACTGGACTGGTAGAGCGCAGCCTCTTTCTCCATTGAATTCTCTGCATTCCACCTGGGAGGTCATTACAATCAGGAGAAGCAGGGGACAGCAGAGGGTCTCTGGGGGAATGGACAGGGAGGATAGTTGTTGTGTTGTTGACTTCAGGGGACCTGAGGTACACGCATCTCCAGCATTACCTCTACTGATGAGATGATGGCTCTGAGAGTCCTGAAGTGATTGTAGATCCATGCAACTTGCACACTTAAACAGGGGATAATATGGCACAACAAGGTTACATAAGTTACAACATTTTAAAAGAGGGTAATATGAAACTTACATTTCAAAAGTAAACTTCCAAACGCTGGGCACATGCATGAAGTTCAAAGGGTTGAAAGACTTAGGTACTTGGCACCTATACTCCATTGGCAGGAGAACATGAGAGAGCGG